GTTCCTGCTTGGAAAATATTGCGTTGATTGGCTAGAATTATCCGAAATCCGCATAATGCCCCTGCCTAAAACCGTGGTTTGAGGCGTTGATGGGTTATTCACGCCTGCGTTCCTGCCCAGTCGTTCAATATCGGAGACAGCACAATGAACGACGATGAAGTCACGCTTGAGCTAGACTTTGATCACGATGGTACGAGTTGTATACTATAGGATCATCAAATTCATACATATTAGACAGTAATCTTCCAGCCCTAGCCAAGACGCCCAAGCACACACCTTTGTGGGACGATGATGGCGTTGCTGCTTTGTTTCGGTTGCGGTACAAGTCTCAGCTGTCTGCGCGGATTTACTCGAAGAACAACGCCGACAAGAAGACTGCTTAGGTGATGCTGGCTGCCGAGCTAAGCGTGGCCACCGAGAAGGAATACTCTGTCGCTCAAGTGCAAGACAAGGTATGTCGATTTGATGACTATCACAATTCGGTTTCATTGGTCGTAGTTTGCAAAAATGAAGTCAGCATGGGCGCTGTCGAAGCCCTCGAATGCGATCGAAACAGGGAATGCTCCCTCCGCCCCATTGCCTCCCCATTACGATGTAATGTTGGAATACTGGAGCGACAAAAGAGGATATCAACGGGAATCCTTAATGTCCACCGACGAGAATGAAATTGTTAATCATATTAATGGTACGCATAATTCATTATCTATGGCAAATATATATGTAATATCGTAGTGAAACAAGAATCGGGATCAGAATGCGAAGAAGAAATGTTGCGCGGTCTCAAGAAAAAGAAATCCAACCCACCCAAGTCAAAGAGCCACAGCGAGGCGTTGGAGGCCGGATTTATGGCCATTAAGGACGATTTGATTGATTTGGGGTCATCACTCTCAGCGGCGCCAAGCCCACAGCCCACCCCGCCAACAGGGGCAACATTGGACGATGTTTTGCAAGCCATTCAAGGACAGTCTCAGACGATTGCTCAACTCGTTGCGCATTTAATCACACAAAAGGAAAAGAAAAATTTAGATTATCAAATTACTATAATCTTTACAATTCCATGGATGAAACTATTCGTTTCCGTTTCACTTTCATCGGCCTGTTGGAAATATAAATTCTGATTGCGTTACAAGGCGCATCGAAAAGTCCGTCGTTAAAGTGGATAATCATGTTGTGCAGTACGAAGCAACATGTAGTGATGGCGGCCGTCCGGTCCAATGATCTTTCGTTCATCACAGTTTTCAAAATCCGGAATCTCTCCTTGAGGCGCCCGAACGCACACTCGACCACCATTCGAGTGCTGGATAAGTTGTAGTTGAATCGTTTTTGTGTGTTGGACAAACGACTGCCTTCTTTGTGCGGCACATATGGGGTCAACAACCATGGCAGTAATGTGTATCCGGAATCGCCAATAATGTGGCTGCCGGTAGGAATACAGCGACGAATTGTTTGGCCCAGCTGCGACACCTTCCAAATTGTTTTGTCGGAGAACGACCCAGGACGGATATCGACGGACAAAAAAACCATACGGTGGTCCACCATTGCTTGAACATTGAGAGAGGGGTCACCGCTTCGATTGTAAAAACCATCGTACTCACGGGGCCGTTAGATGTCAATAAGAGTACCATCCACAGCTCCAACAATGCCCGGAAATCGTTGTACCTTGTAGAAGCCACGTTCGATGCGACTCCAGTCACCAGGGTAGGTGGGCAGGCGTATCCACAACTTTGCTTGGCTCGCCAACACATCCACCACGGTCGTCACGACTGTGATACACCACGATTTGGCCATTCCGAATGCTGCCGCTGTCTCTCGATAGCCACCTTCAGACCCAAGAAGTACAGCGTCACGGCCACCTTCTTCTCGAAGGAGTGTCTGGATTGACGCTCGTTGGGCTGCAAACGTTGACGCAGCAAGTCCACAAGTCGGCGGAAGACAGCTTGGTCACAGCGAAGGTTGTCGTGGAACCACTGCTCGTAGCGTGCGTCACCAAGCATAGCGTCAAAGTCAACTTGAGTGATGGTCAACAAATTGTATTTAGCACCAAGAGGCGTAGTACCTACCGACATACACACTGCGCATACGGCCGTAGCCACGGCAACAGCAACCCGACTGAAAATGTCCATCGTGGCGAAGCAGGAATGCCTTCACAGACCAGAAAAACACAACTAATCCGAATAAATTTTATCCGGACAAAGCTTGAATGCATGAAAGCAGGAACACAAATTCGGAGACCACGCTCTTATGGATCAGTACCCATGATTTTGCCTTATCGAGTTGTACCCAAATTGCTGTATGGTGTCAATAAAGTACGATTTGGTGGTACCTTGGAAGGCTGTACCCAAGTCGCTTTATATTGGTCAAAACTGTCCAATTATCTCGTTCTAGCCAATCCAATCCGAACGTATTAGAAAGAAATCAGACCACCTTATTGAGTTACTTCCATTTCGATCAGATTTTACTAACATTTTCGGGGGTACAGATCCATAAGGTATACGGTAGTATGCGTCCTTCACAGTCCAAAGTAACGGCGACGGCATTGCAATTTGGTGAAATGGAGGTGAAAATGGTATCGTTCGGTATCTGCACAGCTAGGGCGTTGCCTCTTCAATCTCATTATCTCCAAAAGTCACCTCAAAAGCGGGTTAACTAGTTACCGAAAACTCTGTATTACACCCCAAACAAGAACGGGTATGTATGTATAGTTGATTTACACGCGAACAAACCCTTGTCGGCGGACGCGACGACGGCGATGCATCGTCATAGCGGCGACCACCACCCCAACACAGCAGGCTACGACCACCACGGTCCCAGCAACAGTCGCTTCGTCTACTGACTCCACAGAGTTGTCATGTGAAGCCTTGACGGCCAGCATCTTTTGCGGCGTAGAAGGCAGGCGGTGCAGAGTGAACTGGGCCGGCCCATTGCTCCGCCAGTCTCTCGCATGCATGAACATGGCGTCTGGGACCCCGCCAATGATGGGCACACAGCCGTGGCATCGACTCAAGTACGTGCCCATATCGCCCTTGAGCGCAATTCGGTTGTCGGGCCCAGCTTCCTCACATGTCCACTGGACGTTGGGGTCGACGAGGTAGTTTACCCCAGAGGGGGGCACGGCAAACGCTTGGTCCGGAAGGGTGGCCCCCCCGGCACATCCGTGGCAGCGACCCAAATACGCCCCCGTGTCCAGCACAAGAGTGATTCTTCCAGTGTGGGGCTTGTTGCGGACTGTCCACTTGGTCGAATAGCTCAGAGGACCGAGCAGAATCACGTCCCAGGTCTCTTCGTCGAATGCACTGTTCACAAGGAACTTCTTGGCCCACTCGGTCAGGTCGTGCGACTCGTCACCGGGCTTGAACAAGGAGATTTGCAGGTAAGTTCGTCCCGCGTTCATACGTTTGTTTGCCTTCAAAATCGCAAACTGTTCCACGCCTTGAATGTATAAGAAATATACATGTACACGCAACACACCTTTGTAAAACAAGCTCACAGTAATCCACGGCTCGTCGCGCTGAAACCGTGTGTGATTACAATGCCACCATCGACTTGGCCTCGGCTTTCGTGTTCTTGCCCGGCGTGTCGATGTTGGGATCGTTCTCGCTGCCAACAACGTAGCGCACTTCGGTGACCCACCACTTAGCATGAAGTTTTGGCAATCCGCGTAGAAGGCAAGCAGCCTGTTGTAGTTCTTGTGGATTTGCATCTCTCGTAGCGGCCTGAACGACACGTTCCGAAACATTGTCTCGGATCGAATGGACTTGTGGTCGGGTGTAAACTCGGATATCCCGACTGGGATCGGCTTGACGTCCACCTCTGACGGCGTTGACGGCATGTTGGCACTTGACGACGACTTCGGTGGCCGCCCACGCTTCTTCGGTGTAGACTCGTCCTGCACATCTTGCACCTTCGCCTTGTTCTTCGCTCCCTTCGGACGTCCTCGCTTCTTCGCAGATAGCGGCACGTCTTGCGGCGCTGATGATGGCACCGCATGCACAGCACACAGTTCTTGACATTCTTTCGCTTCGGGCCACCCTTTCTTCGCGGCTTCTTCCACGATGCACATATGATGGAACTTGGACGAACACATGTTGCACTGTCGGAGGGTTGGGCCGTCGTCGGCGCCGCACACTGAACACGTTTCCATGACACCGCAAAGTGAAAAATGGCCACCATTGAAAGTTCCCGACCAATAGGGTGCCGTACAGAGTAAAACACACCAATGACGACGACGAACTTGTTGTCCCATCGCTTTTTCAACTTGATTGCGTGATCACAACGGCTGCAACGTCAAAGATTTGGGCATAGCCTCCGGCAGGCTTCAAACAATGGGTCGCGAATGCACACGGAGTTGGTGGCGGCGTGGGACTCGGGCGGAGGGGGAGTCGGGACGGCTGCTGCTCACAGGGACCTGTAGAATATATAGGACATCACACACACTGCGCACATCACATACCTTGGCGTCAACGGCCCAAGCGGCAGATCGGAACCATTTTCTCGGTTGCTGGCAAATTCGAAAGTGAGAGAACTTCCTTGAACAAAATTTAAAATTCAAACTTTGAGCCAATCAGCGAGAAGGGAGATTTTTGCACTCTACATACTGCTTAAGATTATAAATAACTGTTTCATAGGCTGAACCCTCCTTCTGTTCCATTACAGACGTTGACAAATTTTTATAGTTCTCCGCGGGAAAAGAAATATTCGTCTTTTTTCTGATTGGCTCCTGCCACCTGCGAATCGCAGAACCCTACACTAGTTAAAGCAAAAACAATGAATTTTGGCATTTTTCATTTTATTATTCGCTCTGCCAACCTGCTAATCGCAGGTTCGCAAAGTCAAGTATACTTAAGAATACACTTGATTAAATTATTGGACTCTCCCCACACGTCCGGGTTAACCCTCTAGGATGGACGAGATTTCCCAATGAGAAATATTCTCATTGGCATGATTAGCCAATTAAATCATAGTATTTGGATTGTATTGTGTTCAGAACAAGATAGCCAATCATGAAAAGGTAAGCCAAATCCCACCATTCTACTGGCTCTGCCAATGAGAATATTTCTCATCGGCACAAAGGGTGGAATATTACTAGCGATTTTGAGTATATTATTACGCTTAGGTTGAACTTGCGGATGAGAAATATTCTCATCGGCCGCTTTACATAGTTTAACCGAGATATTTCTTATGTATACTTGACTTGCACTTTGCTTCCGATCCGAGCGGGTTAATACTATTATTGGTGGCTCGCCCATTGGTTAATCCATTCATACTAGATTATGATTATTGGCTACTCAGAAAACGTGCCGCACTGCAACTTGTCAAGTGGTGCTTTTCTCTCGCCTGTGTTCACGCCTTTTGTCCTCGCTTATGAAGTCTCCCAAACTCTATCGCCTAGTCTATCAACTCTGACAGGCCGAGACAGTGGCCGCTTTATACCTGCATGTTCTGTATATTCTTCATGTCGCTACCCTACCCTAGTGATTGCTCACCCAATCACGGCTCTAGCACAAGGAT